TATATTCTTTTTAAAAAAAAATTCTTTGCTCGCTATATAACAAACACCTCTAAAATCCTATGTGCGTTAGGAGCGCCATTTTATAAAAAAATAAAAATAAAATTGTACTGAATTGTGCTAGATTTGTGCTACATTGTGCCGCAACAATTAATGACAACTGAAAAAATAAAGCGTTTTGAAATTGAAAAAACTATTTTTTTCGTCAGCACCGCCATTTTGTTTAATCGACAAAATAAACATTGTGCTGAGTTGTGCTAGATTTGTGCTACATTGTGCTGCAAAGATTTCTATGTGTGTATAGATTTCAACCGCTCTTTCATAACAACAAAAGTTAGGATTAAAAATAGTTTCTCCCTTCGTGCTCAGAGCCTCAGAGGTTACTACTCTCTTCAACCAAACCTTGTATTTTTTACTTAATAAATAATATTGTACACTTCAAATTAATCAATTTAACAGTCATCTTAAATGAAATTATAATTTTAGAAATAATATTTATGAGTGTTAAAAGCAGTTTTTTCCACACTTTTCCGTAGTCCTCATTTGACGTCGGAATACCGATAGAGCCTCCTTAACGCTATTTGTTTTTTGAGTTATGTCATTAATTGTTGCGGCACAATATAGTACAAATCTAGCACAATTCAGCACAAATTTTAATTTCAATTTTTTTACAAAATGGCGGTGCTAACTTCACGCACATCAAGATTCTTCTCAATGTATTTTGATAGCTTTGTTGTCCTTTTTCGTCGTTGAGCGCTGGTTACCACGTTCCGGCAGGTCGTCAATACTTTTTGTTTCGTTATAACGTTTCACCCACTTCCTAATAAACCCTTTTGACTTCTTCATGTAACGGCCAGCAGCTGCATACGACATTTTCGATCCTGACGGATGTTGCAAAGAAATACTGCTTCAAAACGACTTGCACATATATCATAGCACTCATTGGGTTTATTTTGCTCTGTTATAGACAAAACAAGTCATTACTACCCATATATGATGTCAAAGCATTTTTCCGAACCGTTCAGAGATCGGAAAAACACAACTTAACATTCTGTGCATCATCTATTAATGAAATGCCGTACGCAAGAACCGTACGCACTTGTGGAACAGATTGATAAATCTGACATATGAATGTATAAACTTTAATAGATATTTCTCCTATTGTAACTCTCCATTTAGATTAATTGTAATAAAAAAATATATAAATTTTATAATAATAATAATTAATTATTATTATTATATTCTGTCAGTGAAAATAAATATTTTAATTACGAAACTGAGTCAAATTTTCATTAGTAAATGAATATATTAATTAACATACATGTAATAATATTGTTTATTTTATTATTATAATATGTATGATTTTTTGCATTACAAGATTCGTTGATATAATCGAAACTTGCCACACAATACCGTTTCTAATGGATCTTCTAGGCGTAGTGATTTTGATGAGTCTTACGTTAATCCAGGTATGCTGCTAGCAGAAATATGTTGAGTGTTTGTAAGTGTTATTGAACTATTAAAACGAAGTCTTTCAGGTATTAACCATTTCCAGTATGGAACGAGCTATCAGATCTGTCGGTATCTCTTGTATAACACTGTGTTATGTATTCATATCTTCTTATATGGGACAGAGAGTCACGGATACGAGTTCGAATCTGTGTGAGAAAATGTAAATATCAGTATAACAGAATGTTGATAATAAAAATCTACTGTTTATTCAAGACAAGAAAAGAGGAATTAAAATAAAAATATTGGCTGCGTTCGGAAATATCACCCGAATGTCCTCGTATATTACCTTAAACTTGTTTAACATGGAATGAACAACAAGAATAAGATGATACTCGGGAAAACCAGAGTGATATTTCCGAACGTAGCCATTGAAAGAAAACAAAAGCTTTTGCTGAATTTATTTGTTCAGTATTTTAAATTCATTCGAAAATTAATGAGATGACTATAAACGCATTATTGTTGATATATTTTTATGTTATGTAAATTGCAAGTTTGCGGAATATTATAAATAAAATATTATATAATAAGTATATAATATAATTTTCTTTAAAATTTTAGATAATTTTAAAAAGAAAAAACAATATTTTAATGTTAATTAAAAATATAAAAAATTTTAATATAATTTGGTGTAGTAATAATATTTATTTATTTATTTATTAGGAGTGTGATTAGTTTTAAGAGCTTTTTTTTCAAAATTTCCTTGGAATGTCTTTTTGACAACACTAGTATTAGTGCCATCTCTTGCAAACCCTCAAAACTAAATCACACTCCTAACATATTAGATGCTTGAATTAATTTTCGCTTTTTTTTTGCTAAAAAAAAACTCGTGCTTATTTTACTAAAAAGGTACCTGATATTTTATTCACAACATTGTCTATCGAAAGCTATAACTTTTTCCCACTTTTCGGGTAACAAATGGATTCCGTGATAGAAAAATTCAGGTTCTTTCGAGGCGATCCATCGAGCCATTTTTTGATATCTTTGAAATAACTGAAGCGCTACTCAGAAAGAGCATGCTGCATAGACCGAAACAAATGGTAATCTGATGGAGCAACGTCTGGTGAATAGGACGGGTGAAGTAAGACATCTCATCCAAGTGCCTCCAAGATTTTCTTTACTGGTTGTGCAACATGTGATCTGGCGTTATTATGGAAAAGAACAACTTTATTATATCTTTTGCGTATTGCGGGCTTTCTTCTTTGAGTGCTCGATTCAAATTGAATAATTGACGTCGATAGCATTCACCATTGATTGACTCGACAGCAGTTTATACTACACAACACCGACTTGATCCCACCAAATGCACAGGATGACCTTCTTATCATAAATATCCTGTTTTGACATTGATGGTTCGCCGGGACGCACCCATGATTTCTTGTTTAGGATTGTCGTAATGAGTCCTTTTTTCATCGCCAGTCACAATTCGATGCAAAAACAACTTCCGTTTTCGTCCTTGGAGCAGCAATTCACAGATGGCTGAACGTTTCGCAATGTTTCTCTCAATTTATGTGGGACCCAATTTCCTAACTTCTGGATCATTCTCATTGCTTTTAAACGTTTGTTGACGGTTGACACATTGACATTTAATGTTTCCGACAACTCTTTGAACGTCTGACATGAATCTTCTTAAAGTAATGCCTCCAATTCTCCATCTTCAAATATTTTCGGCTGACCAGGGCATTCTTTGTCATTTACGTCAAAATCATTGTTTTTAAATCTTCTAAACCAATCTCTGCAAGTTGTTTCAGATAGAGCATGCTCCCCATAAGCCTCCACTATAAGCAAATGATGACTTTCAGCAGCAGATTTCTTGATGTTAAAACAGAAAACGCTTCCCGCAAATGCTCTTTTTTTAATACAAAACTCGACATTTTTAATGCGATAAAAAATTGTGTTCTTTGCATCCGATCAAATGTTATATACTAATACATATACTGATTATTAAAGCCTATTGATATTACTTTCATATACATAAGCAGTCACTTTTGGCCATGTTGAAACAGCACAAATACCGATCTCTCCTGATCACAAGAATTAATTCAAGCACCTAATACAGCACGGATTTCGTAGAGACGTCCTGCATGAAGACGTCTAGAAAACGTTCTCAAGATGTCACTTAGATAAAAGTTTGCTATGTGGAGAGAGGAAGATGGATTAAATATTTTTTTATTATCTTATTAACTCCTGTTAAGAAACAAGAAAGAATTGATTTCGCAGATTCAACTCTATGTGGTACAACGCAGTTGTTTCAGAGCAAAAGGCATTGTTAATAATAATGATGCGACGCTATCAACCGCTTATCTTGACCGCTTGTAAATTTTACGTGATGTCTTTGCAGAGTTTTGGAATGGTAAGGAAAAAGTACACTGTATTCGGAATCATAATACCGACAAATAATAAATATATATCTCTTTCAAAGATACTTCAAACAATAATTTCCTATTGTATGTTCATCAAACAAATTTGAAAATATTTTTATTAAGTTATATGCCTAGGGCATAGATATGTAACGTAGAAAAGTCACGAAAATATTAGACGTATACGGATTTCTTCCACGATCATATTGACAATTCTTTGTGAAAACACAAATGTGTTAATAAAATTTATAGGTAAATAATTGTGCAGAGTAACTAATAATAGTAATAAGTAAAGTGTAGCAACTCATAATACATGTAAAGTTTTTTCAGAAGAATATCAGAATATTTATGGAAGTGTCTATAATAGTGTTATTTCTCTCCAATTTCTCTCATATTTTCGGTGATAAAAATTTTAGTTAATTTATTTACTTTAGTTTATTTATATATACAGAAAAAATTATATTTTATATATCTTATCTAAACACAAATATCTATGTAAAATATTAATAATAGTAAATATCTGTCTTATATATATATATATATATATCTGTATTTATAGTATTGCCTAACAATTCTTCTTTCGAAATACTCTTGTAAATAAAGTATTAAAAAAAAGTCTTCGATAAAATTGAAAATTGCTTCCGATATAATACAAGTACTCAATGGTTTGATCGCGTCTTTTGTCATGTACTGTGCGAAATAAACGATTCCTCAAATATAACGTATTTTACCTTGGACTTTCTTCACTCATCTTTTGCTTCCTTTCCCTGTAAATAATCAAAGAAAAATTGCGTCGCCGCAGTGGAATAATCGCGCATGCTAGAAAAACTAATACGGCAGATGTAAAATTGCCTAAAGACAATGTTTTGTTCGCAGATCACCGGTCATTTCCCACGTTATTAGCTGAACATTGTACGCGCGCTGTCAATCGATTTCCTCAACGCTTCTGAAAATTCTGCATTTTTCTCCGACGCAATTCACTTATGTAATTCACTGATAATAAAATTGAAAAATTAGAGAAATACAGAATTCAATAGATAATAAATTTTTAGAAAAAGATAAGATAACTATAGTAATAAAATAATAATCGACGAGCCCTTGCTTCGGTTAGTTTGTTCAAAACTTTCAAAGCAAATGGAACATTTTCCTGAAGAGCGTTATTATAAACTAAATCGATTTGTACTGTCGCTTACTGGGTTATGGCCATATCAAAGCAAATGGAGCGCTCGTTTAGTGAGGGCTATTATCATTACTATGTTGTTGGCATCTGCAATTTTTCAGGTATAACCGTAACATAGAAAGTAATTTTTTTTTAAATTAAATAATTTAAGATATTTTTTAAATTAAGTTAGACATTTTTATGAAATATAACTGAAGAAATATAATAATTTATAATAATAATAATAATAATTTATTGAATATAAAGGAAAGCTCCCTATTATGAGATAAATGGCTAATATAAGATAGTGGCGTTTCTGCTAAATTATAATAAATGCTATCTGCTGTTTCTAACATTAATTTATTGCTCTTGGATTAAAAACTATTTAATGGAAAATTCATCATTCGATCATGTCTGTGATCATTAGACCATGAAAAAGATTTTAAAATTTGGATGTCTTCAAATTTCATTGAGATGAATTTTTAATTTCCATATAAAAGTTATGAATTTTTTCAGTGTATGAGATACTTAGAGTATTTAATAAGTGAAGTAATCTATGCTATTATGCCTAAAAATCGTTGCTAAAGTATAAATGTTATTGCATAGTATAATAATAAAAAGGATAACCGTAATGAAAATCGAGTATCTATAATTGGTTCCAACTATCTGAAGACGTCCTATGGGTACCTACATACAATGCATCGCATGCTCATTTTACGCACACAACTGTACTCGTTTGTATTTCAGAAATATTAAATAAAGATTTTTAATTTCAATTAATATTAAAATGTATACTTTACGTTTTAATATCGATTTCTCGGGACATCTCATATTACAATAGGAGCACACTTTTCTGACTTTACAATTTGCTAATTTTTTTACATTTCTTTAAAAAAAAAATAAAAAATATTTAAATTTTACATAGGTAACACAGTCTTAAAGCTTATTAAATTCTCATTATTTTTTAAATTTTGCTTATAAACTTCTAGCATTTACCTAAAATCAACTCAGTATCTCATAATAGGGGCCTGTATATACGTAATATAATATTACTATGTAAACTGTATTACAATAACATAATCGTCGATGTTATGCATCGTCTACAATACACGGAGTAAAAAGTAAGAGTAAGATTAATCACAATAGAATAGGAGAAAAATAATCGACCGTGATCGGTTAATTTTTTACTCTTTTATATATGTATATATACACAGGGTTAATCATTAACGATTAAATAACCTATCAAGAGCAGGTAGAGTAGACCAAACTTAGTCGAAAAATCTTATACCATTTTGCAGTTTACGCAATATTTAACATTAGACCTTAAATATAGCCGAATAAACGCGTTCGTCCGACCTTATCTTTGAAATCTAAATCTCGTTAAATATTGCGTAAACTGTAAAATGGTATAAGACTTCGACTCAGTTCAGTCTACCCTTATACCTGCTCTCGATAAATGATTTAATCGGTTAATGACTCCCTGTATATATACCTCTTACTCCATGTATTGTAGACAATACATCAAAAGCTACCCCCTATATAAATAAGCTGTTATAAATATACTTTGAAACAAAGATATTTCAAAGTTGTTATGCAGATCGATATTTCTTTATATGTATGTATCTTTTTATATAAAATCAGTACACAACTGTTTGAAATTTTAAAACCTCTCTTAAATGATTCATAATTCAATTTTTAGATGTCAGTTAAAGATGTACTTTTTTCTGTGAATGTTTATCTGTTATTCTTATTAAGGGTTAATAATATGTTTCCAGTTATTAAGCCTTTTTACGTCTAATATCACTGCAAACTTCATAATCGATATGGTACCAGCATTTGTACCTGTAATAGGTAGTCTGAGTCAAATGTATGCACGTATCGGACATACAGACAAAGTAAGCTTAGTCGATCGTTACTTATATATCTAATAAATTTTATGTAAATATTCGGACAAAACGTGTTGTTTATCATAAATATTTAAATCATACAGATAAACAAAAAATAAAATTTGTTAATAGGGCTCTCGATATTTAACAATTTAATATAATAAAAAATGTAAGGATTATATAAGAGTATCAATAATAGCACGGTATAATTGGAACGCAATTCGAAAATATATTCTCAAATTATTTTTACATACGATTCAGATACACATATTTGATTGAACTATATTTACTTCATCTTTAAATCATCTTCAAATCAGTAACACATTCGATAATTCATGAATTATATGTAAACATTATTTGAGAATATATTTTGTGAAATGCGCTCCAAAAAAGTCGTTTTTACAAGTTTTTCATGTGTATCTATATATATATATATAACAAACATTTATATACATAACAAAATATTTGTGATGAAATGAAAAAGTAAATGATATATTATTCTTAAATTCTTATAAGTTTGATTATTACACAAACATATTAACTTATTGAAAGCATCAAATGTATTATGTTAACATACTGATTAATAATATTTGTCTAATGTCTAATAAATAAATATAATTATTCAATTATATTATCTTTACAAATTTTTATTATTATTTTACAAGTCATAATTTATTTTAACTATTTATAACCTACTATTTAATTTATTTTTAGCTTAGGGATCTATTTGAACATATGTGGAACGATTGGAGATTACGAAAGACAACTTATGAGACCAAGATCATGCAAAAGCATGCTGAGACATCGAGATTATTGACGTTTTATTATTTGCGTAAGAAAAATATTAAACTTCGCTTTATCCAAAGAAAAAGATGTATCTTTTTGTCTGTAAGATCTATAAGATCGACACTGTATTTGTGTGAGTGAAATCAATCGTACTCCCTTTTCATTGTCAACATCGAAGGTCTTATTCATTGTATACGCATTATTTTCAACGAGTAACATGCGTGATATTTCTTTTTCAATGCTGCATATATAAATATAATTTTATTTTTAAAGTGCATTTGTTATAATCGCTGTCATTAAATTAAATGGATGTAAATTTTTGAAGAGTGATTGGATCTCTCATTGCTCACATTTCCTTACTTTTTTCCTAAACCTAAACTCTACTTCTAGCTTTTTCCACATATTATATGTATAATTACATACTAATAATGTCGGGTAAAACTTTACCTATACACCATAAATTTCTGACCGATCTTGATGTTGATCTTGATCTTCAATAAAGTCAAGATTATCGATTTTCGTTGCGCTCATTGTTCATTAAAAAGTTATTAACGAAACAATTTTTATTATTAATATAATAATAAGACTCTGTAAGTATAAAACAATATATCATAAATATAAAAAATAAGGGCAAAGAGCCAGTAATATAATAACTACTTTAATTCAAACAATAATAATATAAAGTGACAAAATAATATCGTCAACATATCAATAATAAAATAACAAATGAGTAGGCAGCGTACGAATTGCATTGTCTTTAAAGTCTTGCATAACCATATCTACTACGATAGGTGATAAAGGTGATCCCATAGGGATCCCAAAAATCTGTTTATACAATTTGTTATTAAATGTGAATACTCTGTGGAATTTAAGACCAACCGAAAGGCAATCAAAAATTCTTCTAAAGGAATTTAGTTTTTCTCTCTAGATATGAAATTCTACCTTCTAACAATACTATCAGATGCCACATCTATAGGTATGTTAGTGAATAAAGATATCACATCCAGGGAAACCAACACAGGCGAGTCTAGTTCAAGTTCGATATTTTTTAATTTGTTTATGAGATCTGCACTATTTTTTATAAAACTAGGAGCTTCAGGTATGGAATTATTAATAATCTTGTGTAAAAACAATTATGGATTAAATAGTAGACTATTTATGGACGAAACTATAATTCTAAGAATCTAAGAGGATATATAATTTTAGCTCTTGGAATAATCCCGTCAGTTGTAAGCAATCCACGATATGTCGAGTCTTCTATATTTTTTTTATAATAATAATATTGTAATGATAATATTATATGTTTCAAATTGTACGCAATTTTTGAACACAACATACTCTAGATATATTTCTCAGTACTCTATGCTAAAAGAAATGACCTTGACCGTTTTAAAGGTCAAGATTAACATCAGGATTGATCGGAAAGTATTTAGGACAGGCTATGTAAATATTTATCATGTATTGTTATTAAACAGAATTTTTGAGAGCTTGTAACAGAATAAAATAATAGAAATAAGTACAAAATTTTGTTTTAGACATTGAATAAGTTGTCACCTTGAAGATAATAATTTTAGAAAAGCGGAAGGTTATAATCGACTCGCTACTATATATTCAAAATATATAATTTTAAAAATATAAATTATTATTAATAAAAACTATATTAAAAGAAATTTATGATTATCTCGAATTTTTCAGTTATGCAGTACATAGCCGTGACAGGGTACAACGCATGGTTATTTCTACCGGAAATTCTCGATATTGTATCGCCCATAAATGAATCCCGCCCACGAATACTACCTTTTAAAGCTGAGTTCTTTGTCGATGAAGGACGATACTTTAACATCATTCGGTCCCATATATGTATCGTGATTTGTATAATATCACTAATTTTTATTGCAGTTTCCACTTTGTATATAGCTCTTACGCAACATGTTTGCGGAATGTGCGAGTTATTGGGGTAAGAAATTGCTCCTCGCATTATTCGCGAAAGAGTAGACGACTCATCTCTACGAAGCGCGCATTATCCGTTAACTTTTGAATCTAGGTGAATTTGCAACTTTGTATATGATACAATGAAAAAAATATGTATTTATCGAATTTTATCAAAAATATTGGTTTACTTACTTAGTAAATATATCGTAACAAATATTTTGTTAGTACTATTCAAATAAATACTTATTTAACAAAATTCAGTAAATTTTTAAATATGTAGATATAACTTTTCAAGAATAAAAGTATTTTACTTTTCACACTTCTAAAATATTTATCATTATGTTTTTTCTCTATTTTTGTCGTTAATAATCGATTATTTCGTCTTTTCTTCCGCTTGATACAAGATGAATATCATTCAAAATCAGTTGTATGATAAAAATAATATTAGTAATATAATTTCGGCAGGTATCGCGCGGAACGCTTATATTATGTTATTGAAGATGCGGTGGGATGCGATTCGATACGATCAAAAATAAATTACGAAAATATGGTTATTTTTGTACGGCTGCATTGCAACATTATACAGTTTGTACTTTTATAAAAGGCATACAATATTTATACTTATGTTAAATTAGTTTAGTCCAACTTATCGAGCATTTTGCGAGAAAATATATGTGGGACGATTACAATAACTTTCCTTCAAATTAAAAATGATTTTCGAAAGTATTTTTATTTAAAGGGTTAAAAAAAATTTTTTTTAAATTAAATTAAAAATATATATAAATTAAATTTAAATTAATAAACTAAAAAATTAAAAAATATTAAAATTAGATAATACATAAAAATATTAAAACTAATAAAAAAGTCACCTAATAAAATTTAATAAAGTCAATAAAAAAATTAAGACAAAAAATATTAAAAGAAAAAGCTTAAAAAAATATGGAATAATATTCAGTACCTAATATTACTAAAACTGGTACAAAAATATTAGTAAATACTAATAATGGTATGTATAATTAATAAAAACAATAATAAAAAATTTAAATTACAAATTAAAGACTTAATAAAGTTTAAAATAAGAAAGTCCTTAAATTGTCAAACTTTGCAATAGGGCACACTAATAGAGACAAGCTTAAAAATCTTGCGATAAGTATTATACATATTACTGTGTGGATTCACACAAATTTCTCATATTTTTCAAAAAATATTTAAAATATTTTAGTAGTTGCAACCGATGAAAAATATTATGCCTTATTCAGCCAATTTTTTCAGTGTTTACATTAATAATTTAATAAAAAAATATTTTTTCTCTAAAATTATTTATTTGTACTAATTTTCTTTATGGTTTATTTAAATACAAAAACACACTAATAGAAACAGACACAGTAATAGGAACAGTTACTCTATATTTTATAACGCGAAGTGAAAACCACTCTATTTCGCTTTACCTAGAGGTTCCACTTTTTACACAAAGCGAAATCTATCGTATTTTTTCTGTTTATAACTGTGATTTATTTTGATATGTGTTGATTGGAGAATTTTTTTATTATGTTTCTTGTGTTCCTTACTAAAAATACAAATCATTTCGAAAATTACTTTTATTTGGAGTGGTTAAAGTTATCGTAATTGTGTAAAAAAAAATTATGACTGTAATATGTAAAATTAAAAACTATCAATTAGAATTAATAATTAACAAGTAATTATATATAAAAACTGTTTCCATTTAGTTTTTTTTTTTAATACGATTTTAATTAATAATGAATTTATTATCATTATTAAATAATATCTATATCTTAATAAAAATTTTTAATAATTAATTCAATCGGTATGTTTCAAATTAACTATATTATTTTCTTATCAAATTACGGTGATTTTCTGCCTAAGGGGATCCTAAAGCAACAGAAATGATTGACAATTACAGTGAACCATTTTCTCCGAATTGGCTTCATAGATCACGAAATTTTTTCACACGATGAAAATACACATCAAAATGATATGGGTAACGCTAAATTTGATAAGAAAATTGGAGGAAAAAAATGAAAAATTCACTTATTTCAGCTCTTACAGCTGTCACTTATTGTAAAAATTCTGTAGATCGTACATACCAATAAATGGTACCTACCCTCGTGCCAAGCGTATGACATGCACAAATAATCTTAAGCTTGCGAAATTGTCATCTAAGGTCTAACAAAAAGGATATTCCAAAATATTTGTTTCACGTGTAATCGTTTCGCTGGCACAGATAAACGATGGTAAACAGCACGAGAATTGTGTATCAAGTATATTACAGTATGTATTGCGGTATATGGCGTAGGAACTTAAGAGAGAAAAGTAACAGGCGAAAGAGAGATAGACATAAGTTCTGTTCTTTTCCTCTCTTAAGTTGAGCGCGCAGCACAGATTTTTCAGCAGAATCATCAATGAACAATGACCAAAACTGTATTATCGACCTCGATCAAGTTCAGCCGTCGCTTTAGGATCCCCAAGTATTGGCGAATAAATTAAAAAATTACAAGTTTAATACATAAAAATGTACGTTAATAATAGACATACATATTTTTATACACAAGAAATATTTTTTTTCTTTCATCTCACAGTTTTCATTAACATATATAACCTTCTTTTATATTACAAGATTCGTTGGTATGATCGAATTTTATCACACAATACCATTTCTAATGGATATCATAGGATTAGTGCTTGCAACGAGTCTTGCGTTAACACAGGTATGTCAATAGAAGCACGTTAAGCGTATCAAAATATAAAAACGAGATTTTTTAGATGCTTACCAGTATCGGCGATAATGAGCGAACCGCTAGATCTATTAGTGTCGCTATTCTAACACTGATACATCTATTTATATCTAATTATATGGGACAAAGAGTTACGGACACGACTTCGAGCGCATGCGAGAAGGTGTGAGTAATGTACTATATTTTATAACACAAACTGACATGAATTTTGACCCTGAAGTAGCAGTATGTAATTTCAAACGTTTTTGATATGCTAAAACCAAATACGGACTCTTTCTTCATTACGTTTTTGAGATATCCTAAAATCTTAAAGTGTCAAACAGGCTTATTTTGAACATTTTTACATTAGAATATTTTGTAAATCCAATATAATGGAGAAATATGGACTACAGATTTGAATTTAGCATGAAAAAATCACTTATGATTATGAATGAATCAATACAGTATAATAAAAAAATTATATATATTGCAAATATAATACCGATCTTCTGCCTGTTCTACAATAGAATCATAAGTTGTAAGCCATAATTAACTGTGAAAAAAATAATCGATTATGATTGATTAATTTCTTATGGTTTATGGCTTGCGACTCTATTATAAAACAGATTTTAGCCGAAATCAGAGTTATGAATGGGAACAATTATGGACTCTATTCTATTTTTTTTATTCTTAAATTTTTTTATTTTTTTATTCTTATTTTTAATGTTTGGGGTTTTTATATTTTTAATTTTTTATCTTTTTTAAACTTTGTATAATATACATATACATATAATACTTTTGCAAATTTTGTCACGTTGTATCACTTTCATAAGTTATATTTCATATAGTTTATAAGTCATACTTTATAAGTTATATTTCATATATAGTTGTAGCAAAGCTGTCAATTGTAAAACCCGATCTACAATTGTACGCAATTGTAGATCAGGCTTTAAACCAACTACGTGTGCTGGTTAACTTGGGAGAATTGAAAGGAATGGTTACATTAGCGCAATGTCGCAATTCTTTTTCATTTTACTGTTGACTTATTTATAATCATATGTGATTTTTCTAGATTTTTTTCATGTTGAATTCGAATCCACAGCTCATATTTCTCCATTACATCAGTTTACAGTTTACGAGATATTCTATTTTAAAATTGCCCGAAATATTAATTTTTTACTTTTAACTTTATGATTAAGATATTTTGGAAACTTAATGTAATGAAAATATTACAGTTTTACCTACGGATTTGATTTCAGCATGCCAAAATCCATTAGGATTATGAACTATCGTTTCTAAGTTAAAAAAATTTTTTTTCTAAGCCTGTGTAATTCATATATATATATATAATGATTTTCTATTTATAGTAATAACTAATAATATGTATTAAAAAATCACTGGAAATATCGATATAAATTTTTAGAACAGGAAAAGAAAATTAAAATAAATAAAATAGAAAAAGCTGTCTCATTCTCTTTATTTCTTTTTGCGCAATTCTTTATGTTCATTAAAAAGTGTGCAATTAAATATGTTTGCAAAGATAAAAAAAAATAAAAAATCTTATAATATTATTTTGAAATTAAATAATATTCTTTAAATAACATTTATTGTTTTAAAAAATCGTAAAAAGCGATGTTAAAAGACCTTCCGTTAATATTTAACTTTCAGATAAATTCGATATAATACTTATAACTTTTAAATAAATATGTCTCTAACTTTATCCATTACTACTACTTACTACGTTATTATTTAAAGTATTATTAGTAATCATTTAAATAATATTTGTTTCTAAAATGAAATAAGATATTTGATTTTTGTACAGGTACAATTCTGCATGGTATAGTGCAAGTGTTTCAGAGCAAAAATCATTATTGTTAATAATGAAACGACGCTTCCACCCACTTATTTTAACAGCATGTAGGTTTTATGTAATGTCTTTGCAGAATTTCGGAATGGTGAGGAAAAATATATTGTAATATAAATCAATATGTTATAAAAATCATAATGACGAAGAGTATAAACAATGTTTATCTTCTAAGATACTTCAAACGGCGATCTCTTATTGTATGTTCATGAGACAATTCTGAAAATGATTTTATCAAGATGTCAGCGTAGAACATAGAAAATTCACGGAAATCTTAGACATCTGACTTTCTTTTAACAATTATATCGAAAATGTTTTCTTTATGAAAACAAAAATCTGTTGATTAGATTTATAGATAAGTAAATATACAGAGTAAATATGAGTACATAATAAATAAAATATAACAACTGACAAATTCATGTAAATTTTTTTAGTATAATATATAATAGAATATTTGTTGGAGTATTTAAGACTGTAAGTTATAATTCTTTTAATGACTTAAATTCCGGTAAGGAATCCGTTGATAATTTTATGTTAATTTATCTTATGCAAAATTCAATATCTTATATTCTATCTGTATAATAATAGTAATAAATATCTGTTTACATTATTATACTATCTACTGAAACATTGTACTATCGATTAATAGCTTTACATTATTTTTTTATTTAACAAGTTATATTGATTATTTTTAATTTATTTCATAAGAAAACTACAGAATATACCTTGATTATAACAAAAACTTTACTTAAACTGTCAAATTTAGTCAAATAGATAAAATTAGAAAAAGCATTACTAGTAAAAACTGGTAACTTTTACGGAATTACGGCTCCATGGGACATAAGGAGATAAAATACACGTAACGTTACGGACGCAATCCCCAGTAACTTTTGTCGACATCCGGTGCGGATTACGGATTGCGGGCTGTATGTGACGGCACCCTAAAGACACGAGACGGTCTCGCGATAGCTACACTTGGCGTAAAATATTACAGTGTTTCTTGATATCTCAAAAAGCACAATTAAAAACTGAACTGATTTGTCTTGTCGCTTATCAGATTATAACCTTTTCAAATCAAATGAAGTGCTCGTTTAGTGAAAGCTGTTATCACTATTGTTATTATTACTGTCGTTTGTAGTTTTTCAGGTAATTATGGTATATATTAGAAAATTATCTTCTCTTCAATTAAATAATTTTTAAAACATATTTTTTCAGTTAAATGTTAAACATTTAAGAATTACAATTTTAAATAATTTAAAAAATGTCTAGAATTGACTGATTGACATTTGGACGAATGTAATTGTTAAATTTTTAATTTAAATATTAATTATTAACATAAGAATGTACGCCATAAATTGAGCATAATTATTATTACCAACTTACAGGACAATAGGAATTCATTTAGTTCAAGGTCTTAAAAGAAGAAATTAAGATAACGGTAAATGACCAGACAGAAGGTAATGAAAAGAGTAAGCAAAAATGCGAGAGTGCTGAATTTTCTCAAGAAACTCGATAAAGTCCTAACAAGGGGAGCATCAGTACATGCATACATATAACCAGGTATGCATCAGTACAATACATACAATGTATAGTACAGTATATGGTATACTGTACAGTATATGCTATGGTAGATTAAAATATAGAGTTTAACATCGTGAAATGTAATACGTACATTTTGATGTCAATAAGTCAAAGAATTGAAGTTACAAAATTTTAAAGTTGAAATAGTCGCACACGCACATGTGTGATGGATTATAGTAGATAAGTAGTTAGTCATTTTGTTGTATTAAAAATCGACTATGTGATATCTTTTTTGTTTTTTTCCTGAATGTTTATTTCTTTTTGCTTTCTAATTTATATTATAGCTCCACAAATTACAAAAAATATTTAAAAACCTTTATTTCTCTATAAGAATTATGAAGCTTGTCATAAAAAATAAAAATATAATAAAATAAAAAGTTGTTTAAAAAGATAAAAAGATATAATATTTTTTTATAATTAAATATAATAGTATTGTTTATTTAAAAACCGAAAATATTTTTGTACAATAATAATAAAACGCGACTATTTCAAACTTCGAAATTTTGTAACTTCAATCTTTTAGCTCATTAGAATCTAAATGTTACGTATTTTACGAGACGGCAAATTTTATATTTGAATATAAAACTTTTTAAAATCCATAAAATACATACTTGAATCTCTCCTTATAAAACAAGATTAACTATTCTAGTAATTGTAAATTAAAGTTAACCAGTTAGAAAAGCTAAAGAGGGACTGTAAAACGATGTGCGTGTGTATGTACTCTAATTAGAGAGTTTGAAGCATACTTCGCTCTATGTATAATTTTTATGCACCACGATTGGGGATATTGAAGAAATACAGTGCAATTTATTATCCAAGTACTTCGTTGGTCAAAAAGGCGAAAATCGTACACACAGTGTTATTTCAAGAATAAATAGGGAACCATATAACACTACTTTCTTTTCTAATAAATTAATATATATTTATGTCTGTATATTTACATACCTGCAGTATTGCCCAGAAATTTTTTTGAAATATTTACAAATAAAATATTTCTAAAAAATAGTCTACTATTAAAATTGAAATCGTTTTTGATATACAATTCTTTGGTTTGATCGTTTGTTATGTACTGTGCGAAATAGACTATTCGAATATTGTATTTTACCTCGGAATTTTTTCACTCATCGTTCATATTCCCTTTGCTTCTAAATAACAGAAAAATAATTGCGATATCACTGCAGTGGAATAATCATGCATGGGAAAAAAATTATCACAGCAGATGGAAAACTATTTGAAAATAATTTTTGTTCGCAGACCACCGGTTATTTTCCACGTTATTATCCGAATATTGTACGCACGCTGCCAATCGATACTCTCAACGCTTTTGAAAAAATTCCATGCTAAACGCATGTATTTTTCTTCGATGTAATTTACCCAATGTAATTCACCTGCGATAACAAAAATAAAAAAAAATTAGAGATGAAAAAACTGTGTAGACTTTAAGAAAAAATTTTCTTAGGATCTACACGATTTTTTCATCTCTAATTTTTTTTTTATTTTTGTTATCGGGGTGAATTACATCGAAGAAAAATGCATGCGTTTAGCATAGAGACACGAATTTTTTAGAAGCTTCGAGGGGATCGATCGACAGCGCGCGTACAATGTTTTTTCATCTCTAATTTTTTTAATTTTACTGTCGGATAAATTACATGAAAGAAAAATGCATGCATTTAGCACAGAAGCACGAAGTTTTCAGAAGCGTTGAGGGGATCGATCGACAAGCGTGCGTACAATGTTCGGTAATA